TAAATATTCAGGAAAAATGTAATGAATATAGTTCCGCTTTTATTTGCTCTTTTGATAATCCTTTCCTTCCACTCATCGTTTTATAAAGTTTGAACAGCACTCGTTTCTATGGTCAAAAATACAAAAAAAAAGTCTAGGTTTGTTATACAGAATTATCAGAAAATTTTTACAGAAACCGAATGTATTGTATGTTATGTTTGGCTGGGTTTAATTATTTTTCTTATATTTGGTTAAATTAGGGTCTCCTTTTGTATTCATTTCGTAACTCCATTACTAAATTAAGTCTCCACTCTTCATCTGGTTAGATTTTTGTGAAGTAATGTTTGATTAAAATCTCTCTTGGACTTTTTAAGTTACAAAATTGACTTAATCTTAATCAAAATTCCTAGCTCGGATTGTGATAACTTTGATTGATTAATGATGCCAAATTTAGAATAGATAGTAAAACTTTTTGAAGTTTTCCTTATCAAATTCTAATACTGACAAATTCTGAAAATTTGATGAAACTTTTCATTTGGAATATATAACAGCAAAACTGCGTTTTCATTTTATTTTGAGTTTTTAAATTATGTCGATTTAAATTAGTGAATGCTTCCAAAAAGTTTGTTTTCAGAAACAGAAATAAGGAAAGAGGATGCAAAGTTTTGATGATAGGGTTCTATGATATAATTAATGAGAGAATCAAAACTTTTTTATTTTTTAATAAAAAAAAGTTTTTTCATTCATTATTAAATGTTTTATTAGAACTTAAAAAAATAAAGCAATTAAAATATTCTTATTGAAATTAAACGATTTTTCTTTCTATAAGATTTGACTATTTATGTTTTGAGGATTTGAATTTTTTAATTTCTTATAAAACTTTTTCATTATTAAATATCGCAGACAAAACCTTCTGCATTTTGATGTATTCTATTTTGAGAGTTATTTAAGAATGTATTATGCCTCTCCAAAAATAAACAATTTATAGTAAAAAAATCTTGAATGAAGTTGATGAAAAATTCCACAACAATTTTTATAATGTCATAAAACAAGATTGCAACATAAAGTCTGGAAAATTTTATTTCCATCAGTCATAGCATTATAGAAAAGAAGAATTTCAAAGTATGAAATTCAGTAAAAGTGATAAGATAAAAAGCGACAAGCGACAAATTGCTGCAAATCGAGTGTGGAAATGAAAATTAAATTTTTCCAACTTTTTCTTGTTCACGATTTTTCTCTCTTCATTTTCATGCAAAACATAACATACAGAGGGAGAACATAGAGAAGATATAATTTTGGGGAAGAGACAAAAAAAATGATTCGTAAAATTGTTCTTGTTCAAATTAAGTGATTGTGGAAATTTGTGACATTTTGGGCTTTAAGATTAAGATTCATTTGATTAATAAGTTTTATTGAGGTTCGTAAGGGGGGAGCATATTTTCTTGGAAAAAAAATTTGTTGGAACGGAATTATTTGGAACGGATTTTGTTGGAAAATAATTATTTGGAAAATAATTTGTTGCAAAATATTTATTTGGAAAAAATATTTTTTGGAAGTGAAAAAATTTGGAATGGATTTATTTAAAACAACATTTTTTTGGAACGGATTTATTTGGAATTGCATTGTTTAGAAAATAAAAAATTGGATAGAAATTTCAATTAATTTCAGAGGTGTAAGAAATTTTGAGTTTTAACGTTACGAGCTGTCAGTTTATTTGTTGAATTCAAGGAATCCTCATTTTCAAGATGAGAAATTCATAAAATACAATTTTTGCAAAAGTTACTAGAAGCTTAACTTTAATTACAATACAATGAATGCACTAAGTTTACTATTTATAAAAAATGCGTTCTTAATTTTATATACTCTGAGAAACCGCAAATTTTATACTTGTTCATATTTTATAAAAGAGAAAAAAGTAAAAGAAAATTTCAACAAACTCAAAAGCATGAGATTTTTATTCTTCTTTTTATAATATTATTTCTCTTTTCTCCTTGTTTTATCTATGTCGTTTTAATTTCATTATAACGCTCACTCTTTCACATGGAGCATAAAGTTATAAATTTTTCTTTCTATTCGGTTTTTATATTCTAATATTTTACTTTTGTCTCATAAAAAATTCAGAGTAAAACTGGTGGCAAACAAATTAACTCTTTAAAAAAATTAAATTTGCTTCTGAAATCTTTTAAAATATTAAAATAAAATTTGTCAAATCAAATATTTTAACTTTTTAATAAATTTCAATTAAAATAATTTTTATATTTTTTAAATCCTTTAATAAAAACGAATTTAACCTAAATTCTGAAATGAGTTTAATTAAAATTAATAAAACTTTTTCCTTAATTAGTCATTACATGTAAACACATTTCTTAACATATCTTTTAATTTAAATATTGACAAAAATTTAATAAATTTATTACATGTATGTTGATAATTTTCCAGCTTCGCATCCAAAATTTCTTAAACAGTAAGCGGAAGAGCATTAATATATAATTCATTTTTAAAGCTATATTTGTGTTTCTGCACGTGTAACGTGAGCCTATTAAGTATGGAAAAATTTTGGTGATACAAAATGTAAAAAAGTTTTTCTGTGCGGCACATTACGATAACGAACAGAAAATATAATGAGAATTGTCTATGTAATACGGTGCGTTTTGGGAATGATTTGCTTTTACACGTTTAAAGTACGAAGATTTTTGTGCAAGCACAGTTTATTGAATACCATGAAAAACTATGTTAGTGAAAATTTTTAAATCTGACACTTATTATGAAGCTCGAACAAAATACTTTCCTACTCGTCAAAACTCACCTCCCTTAAATAATGCAGAATGAAAAACATTGAATTGTCGGTGATGGTTGATATATGTGCACAGTGCGATCCATTAAACACTATTTGAAGCAAAAAGAATGAAGTAAAGAGAAAAAGGAAAATTAACTTGACAACCGGCATGCTCATATAAAATATTTCATAAAGCTTGAAGTTGAATGAGTTTTATCACGCACCATAACTAACTTGTCGCCGTCGTCACTGCTGTTGCTGTTAGGCTCTGATTTTTTGTTCGCTTGTAATATTTTAAATCATGCCTTTATATTAGATCGAAATTTGAGAAATTGCAAAGTATGTTCATTGTGGTAGTTCAATTTAATTGTATTTGTCAGTTTACAGTTGAATTTTTAAGCCTCGTTTTCATCGTCGATGATTGTCTCAAAAGTTTAAAGCCAACGTTGAAATAATTGTATTTTGTTGTATTTTTCGTCAATTGAAAAAAAAAACATATTATAAGTTTCCTTGAAAAAGAAGAAATTGGATGGAGAAGGAGATGGAGGTTATTGAATGGAGAAAAAGTTGAAATGATTTATGGGCGACACGTTCAAATGCTGTTTTCCTTTTTCAAATTCCACATATTTTTCCTTATTTTTCGGTTGTCGCTTGGGGCGAGAAAAATTTCCTTTTACCCCTTAAAAATTCACATTTTTCTCTCCATAACCCAAATAGTTCCTCTTATTGATGCAACATATTTTTTACGGCACTTTAACAGCGTGAATATGGTTAATGACATTTTCGTCAACACTTTAGATTAGATTATGCAAAGGCATGGCGTAAAAACGACTTAATGGCCTTTCTCAAATGAATGTGTCAGGAATGAAAATTATGGAACTGGCTTTTTTCTTCTATTTCACCTTTCATATTTTTCTTTTACACTTTTTCCACTTTTCTACTCTTTTTCAGTCGTGTAAAAATAGAATTTGAATGTTTTACAAGAAACTTAATCGATAAATGTCTCCTCTTGAGTTGTGTATTACATGGTCTTTTAGGTTAATTTCATTAATAACTTTATGTCGTGTGGTAATCTTCTTAATCATTCAAGAAGAAATTTTATGTCAAATAAGAAAACTTGAAAAAATAAATTAATGATGAAAAAAATTTCTGTAAGCAAATTTTTTCTTTTTTTTAAACTAAGATGATTTTGTTTTTAAAGAAGATTAAATAATATGTCAATTAAGAAGAAGGAGTTGAGTGTGACAGATAATTGTGACAACAAAATGATTGTTGTGAAATTTTTAATGGATTTTTTTTCTAAAAACTCTTCAATTAATTCTCATTTCGTTCCATTTCTATGTTTTTACGTGATGCACATTTAAATATGTTGACGAAATTTGATTTAAGATAGAATTGATGATTATGTTATGATTTTAATGTTTTACATCAACATGATTTATAAAATATTGTATTAAGCTATTTCAATTAGTGAGATGAAGAGTATGAGATTGTGTTGCAATTTACAGAAATTTTATAATATTTTTTTATAATTTTATATATAATTTACAAAATTATTTTTTGATATATTAAATGATGTTACAAGGCAAAATTGGTTTAAAAAAAGTTGGGTTAGTAATTTGGTTAAATATTAATATTATTTATGAATTTATTAAAAACATTATAGTGAAAAAAATAATGGAAATAATCAAAACCAGATGCCTTGTTGTAATCCCTTCTTGTTCTCTTGATTTTTTTGAAACATAAATGTGCGTCATAATCCTAATTAATGAAGATTTAATTGATAAGCTTTTATTATCTTGTAAGTCGAGATCAATTTCACATAAATATCTCCTTTTAATGCAACGGATTAGTTTAACTGAACAATCATTTAATTTTCAATTTTTCAAAAAAAAAAAAAAAACTGGAAAAGTAAGTCTTGCAAAATTATCACAAAGAAATTGTTTTAATAAAATCGCTCATCATTCATAAATCGCACATCAAAAACTTGCAAGCCATTCATAAATGGCAATGTGAATCAGGAAGTAAGCAAGTCAAAGCATGAAAAGAAAAGATTATAATTTTTCAATTTTCTTTCACCATATCGCATTACGATATCAAGATTGTAACTTGAAATGGTCTTGAAAGTGATTAACGATTGCAAATGTTTTATTACATTGGATTTAACTCATTTTCTCTTTTCCTCTTTTTTTTGCAGATAATCATCAGCAATTCTGAAACAATGAAATATTTTGACGGATGAAAAATGGAATTTGTGCATTTATTATTGTACCTGGTGAGTTTGATCATTATTATTATTGCCATTCCTATTCTCCCTTCATTTCCATATAAATCGAACTTTATGGTCGAGGCGATAAGAACAACACGTATATTAATAACATGTTACGTTGACTGAATTGGGAAATTCTTTACAAAAACCTAAAGCTGTTAAAAACATCTATATACGAAATAATATTTATTAAAATGAATGTGTACACATTTCTCATATCACATTACACATTTCAATGATTTCAGCAAATATTTTTTCATAACTTTGCTTTTACCGAAAGCACTTATTTTTACCATGTGGAAGTTTTACAATACAGATTATTTTAATGTTCAGTTTGCACTTTTGTCTATTATAAAATATTTTTACGAGGTGAAAACAACTTGATCAAAATTTTTGTTAAGATTAATTGTGGGTCAAACATCTGGTCACCTTAGCTATCAATGGTTGGTGTGGACTTGTGACGATATGGTTTTATAGTTTGAGTTTATTGGAAAACTACCAGGGCTGACTGTTAGAAGTAAGTAAAGAACCTATTGTAGATAGGTTTTTCGCTGTTCATCATTGTAGAACAAGATCTCCACTTTACATAGCTTTACATAACAGGTTAAAAAAATGCTTCTTTTATCATTCAAGTTTACACACTCTTTAACTTGTTTTTGTTTGCGCATTCATATTATTCTCTTCCTTTCCACCTCGTTCCTATATGAATCATAAGCTGAAGAGACGTATGAATGGTAGTATAGTGTTTGCATAATTTCCAAGCATTTTAACAGACTGACTTGTCTTGACTTCTTTGTAGACACAAACTCTTGATTTTCATTCAATCAGAAGTGAGAAGTTTGAAGTTTGAAGTTAGTTTAGTTTACATTGTACTTATGAACTCAAGAAATTTATATCTGTCGCTTTGAGTTGACATGGATGATGATGATATATGCTAAAATGTACATACAGAAATTGAATAAGTCCAAAATTATTTCTGCTGATATTCTGAGATTGAGTGATACTTTATGTGAGCATTGAAATGTTTTATATTTAACCAGCTTTATTTAAGGTTTAAGGACTTTTGAATTGGGTATCATGAAGGTTTTTTTTGAGAACTATAAAAAATATTTGTTGAAAATATAAAGGTATTTTTTTGAGGGTTAAGGTGCTTTACTTGAGATATTTATTCCTTACTTTAAATCTTTAGCACAGTGATGTCCAAACGGTGTGCTACGAAACGCAATTATGCCGAATAAATGTTTTGAAAATGACACTAGCCGCATGCTGTGTGTGACTTCGGTCATGGCTTACCCCTAAGGTGTGCTGTGGTTCAAAAAGTTTGGACAACACTGTTCTAGCGTATAAAATTATACCTATTAGATTTAATGGATCATTACGTTATGTGACACTGTTTGAAAACAATATATTATTTTCAAAAACAATTTAAAAACAAAGGAGGTCTTTTAAAAATTTCGATAGCATTTTTTCTTCTGTAGCTTGTGATCATGAACCTTAAGAAATTCAAAAATCAATAAGTTACCTTTCATTCTATCTATTTCTCATAAATATTTTATGCATTTCCTTAGAAAAATGCGTCACAATAGCTCTTGAGACACGGAAAAATGTAATTATTTATTAAACGCTATTGATTTCTATTCAAGATCGAGAAAACTAAGTTTTAAATGACTTAATTGACAATTTATTGGCACATAAAGTTGGAATTGATCTTTAAGAATGGTTAGGAATTGCCATTGAAATATCTAAAATCACTTAGAATGTCTCCTTCAAAAAATGATAAGTTCTTTACAGTCAAGCTCTTATTACATACACATTTTCGCCTCCGCGTATCGCTTAAATTACCAACTTTTAAAACTTTGTAATCTTTTATGAAAGGTTAAAGGTTAATCTAAATTTCTTTATGTTGCTGTTTCAGAAAGGAACAAAAATGAAGATTTTTTAACGTAGTTAAAAATAAAGTTTTACTTTATGCTTAATTTTTTTTTTCACTCGGAACCAAACCTTTTCTTTGTGTGTTGCTCACCTCCAACTCGTTTAATTTTTTTTTAACTTTTCTTTAACACACATAACTTTTTCTCTTAAACAAAAAGACCGAAAAATAAAAGTTTTTCTGATCCCAGTTAAGTTCTCTCTGCTGAAATTGAAATTGAGATCGTTTAATGTTAAGAATATAATTCTCTTTTATGTTTCTTTATCTCACAGTTTTTGAGTAGGGTTTCTCAATTTAGTGACGATTTATGATTGATCTGTTAAGAACGGTACTTATAAAGTTTTGTTTCTAAATTGCAAAGTTCTTGTCCATTCTCCCAAAGGATTACAACAATAAAATCTGATAAAGAAAAAAATTGGATAAAATTCATGTTCTTTTTTTAGGAGGATGCCTTAATTTTATTCAATTTAGTGTTTTTAATTTAAATCATTTGGATGAATTATTTGGATTCTCTAATGAATGCAAAAATTTCAATTAATAAAGTAAGAGGGATTCATGGATAAGCTTTGGTGGTCAACTTACTAAATTGTCAAATCTTAATTTAGTAATAAATATGAAAATTCATACATCAAAAAAATTAACCATTAATTTGTTGATGAGATTCTGCCTTAAATACACATAAATTCAGATAATAAATGTAAAGCTAAGCATTTAAATTAATTAATTTTTTGATATTCTTTTACAAAAAGTTAAAAAATTCAATTTCTGAATGAAAAAAACTTTACCTATTCAGATCAATTGTGATCCACAGGTGCGCTAGGGCGCTTTGCAGCTAATGAGAGTTTAACGAGTGAGGATGCGCCAAACCACTGCACTCAAACTTAGACCTAAATTTATAGTTGAATCCGAGTTACTCCTTTGATGAAATTTCAGTCTGTAGGCTACAAAGGAAGGCTGTGAGCCTCAATTTCAGTATAAATGGTTCGAAAAAGGACAAGCAAAAACTTCGCATACCCAGTCTCGAAGTACCAAACCATTCCACTAACGAGCCACTTCAGCTCACAATTTATGAATATTCGATATTAAATTAGTGTTTCGTCCTTTTAGAATCCCTTTTGATGCATTATCAAGCCTTTTTTTATCCATCAAATAAACATTATTGTTTGCCTTTCATGTTTGTTTCACTTTTTGTTCTCTTCTTTTCTCCATCTTAGTAAGTTTTTCTGTGTATTCTAATTCGTTTCAGTTTTTCTTTTTGTTTTCTTTTACGTCCCTGTAAATCAATACTCAAAAATTAATTATTAATTAATTCTGAGGAGGTAGATAGTGGGTGGTTTGGATGGTTAGAAAAACTGAACAAGTTTTAGATGGAACAAAAAGTTTATTTTAGCAATCGAATACGTTTAATTTTATTTCATTCTCAACATTCCTCCCCTAACTCATTCCAGCATGCTATATCTTTTATAAAAGCACGCGTCAGGGCAACATGAAGAGCAAAAATAAGAAACAACACAAAAAAAGTGGAAACAAGAAAAAAATAAGCAGTAAACTCAATAAGTGTACAAAATGAAAGAAGGAAAATTTGTTATACAAAATACAATAATAATGTAAAAGTCGAGTAGGCAGGCAATGAATGAATGGATAAAAAGTAGCAGGAGAGGGAATTAGCTTTCACATTATTCAATTAGTATTTACATTATTATACTCTCTTGCCTCTCTTTTACCGAAATTGACGTTTTATTCATACAGCAAATTAATAATAAATAAACTCCAAAGTTGCTTTTCCATCCTTTTCATTCCTATTTCTATTTGGTTTTGATTTAGTTCTCTCTTCTTAATGCTTGTTGTATTACTCTGTTGTCTAATTTGATAAAAGGATGTCTAGATGAGTTAATTTTAAATAATCATCGGTCGAATAGAGAGAAGGGTGGAGCAGTGAATAGTTTCTGAATTATTTTAAAAAACTTATTTTTTTAATTTTATAGAAGAGATGAACATGATATGTAACAATAGATAAAGGATAACATTGCATGCGTGGGCAATAGATAAAAATAATTTTTCTCCTTTCCAACATGTTCATGTTTTAATATACTCATCATATATATTCTTACTTGGGTGAGCTGAAGTGGCTCGGTGGCGGAATGGTTTAGTACTTCGGTACCTAATTATTGCAATACCGACACAGCGATCATGGGTTCGAGACTGAGAATGAGAAAATTTTCACTTGTCCTTTTTCGAATCATATGAACTGGAAATGAAGCTCACAGCCTTCCTTTGTAGGCTACAGGCAGTAATGTCATCAAAGGAGTGGTTCGGATCCCACTATAAATTGTAGGTCTAAGTTTGAGTGCAGTGGTTTGGCGCATCCTCACTCGTTAAACTCTCATTAGCTGCCAAACGCCCTAGCGCACCTCTGGATCACTATTGATCTGAATAGGTAGTTTTTTTTTATATATATTCTTACAATACTGTATGATTCCATTGAGAATCAAATGTGAGGATAATCAAAGTGGCAATAAAACTATGAACAGTAGAAACTAACAGCTATTTAGTGTGGGTAGAATAATTGAGCATAGAATTGACTTGTAACTTCAACTTTGTTTCTTCAAGAAGGGGGAAAGATCTGTAAGCCATTGTTTTGACGTTGAATGAAAATTAAGCTTGAGATTCATCCTGAGGGAGTTTTATTTATTTATATTGTTTTTATTTACTTTCTCCTTCTTTCAGTTCGAGTTTATTATTTTTTTTTTTATGAATTACTAGAAGAATGTATTCTACACATATACATATTTGTATAAAGTCATTACATTGCCCTAGATTCTATACTGCTTTATACACTCTGACATTAGCCATGAACGGCATAAAAATGTTTGCTTGTCAACTCTGTATATGTGCTTTCATTCATTGCTTGTCAAATGCAAAATAAAAACAGAATAAGGAATGGGGAAATAGGAAGAAAATACTTTAATTCTATTTCAATTACACGCACATAAAGATATTATGATGAATTAGATTAGAGATTAAAGTAATCTTTTACAAGGATGAAAAATCTAGGCAGTTTTATCTTAATAGGTTCTTTGGTGTAAGGCAATTTTCTTATCGAAATTAACAATTGTTGTAGATAGAACAAAGTTTGGACGGAAAAACGTTTATATAAAATTTGTTTCATTTTCTTAATAGAGACGTTTTCAGCTATTTAGTCACGATATAAAGTAAGAATCATGACGTTTAAGGATCGATATTTCCCATTAAATAAAAATTGAAGAAATTTGATAAATTATTTTAGTCGTGAATTTGTTATAAATACTAAAATGCCTTAGCAAGGCATAAGACTATATCAACCAATTTATGATTGACACTCTTAAATTAATTATTGCATCTATGCATGATTTATTCATTCAAATAATTAACTTCCGAACAAAAGTTCGGAAGTACCAAAAACTCTTGGTACTTATTGCACAACAGAAATGTTATTCATTTTATTGTCTCTTTTGTACACAAATAAATTCTCAACTTATGAAATTGTCTCATAAATATCCATTTATGCTATAAAAAAGTCCCATAAAAAAATTTTTTTTTCTTCAATTTCTTCTCTCGAAAATAATTTTTTTCTTTCTTTCTCTTAATTTATTTTTAATTTATGTTGACAGTTATAGGTAAGCAGTTCATGTCGCGTGTATAGGCGTGATGAGATATTTTAAATTGCTGTTTCAATTCAATCATTCTACTGCTTTCGCTTGCTTTGAGACTTTTTTTTGTTAATATTTTGTGCTTCTTTCTGCTGTATGTTCAATATTCCGTTAACTGATGAGAATATCATAAGCTATTCGTAATCTGAGATTATCTCTTCTGGCTGTGTGGGAGACGATGAGAATTGGCTAAAATGTTTAGAGCATTTAAGAGAATGAAAAAGTTGACAAATTTTTTAAAATAATTAAGGTTGATGCAGGCTTGTGATTCCCATTAAAAAGGTTAATGACATAAAATTTGAACTTAAAACTCACAATTGCAGCTTTTCTTAAGAAAACAAATTTTTATCAGTACCATAAATTATTTTTTTTAACAAAAAATTCAGAACATTGATAGTTTCCATCCCCAACTGTCATAAACAATACACACACGCTTACTGAAAGTTTTTTAAGAGAAAAAAAAAACTATATAGTCTGATGTTGTATCTACTTCCGCATGCTTTTCTTTCGTGATAACCAAACAAAAATCTTTTTCTTTCATTCTTTTGAAATGAACGTATGTGTAAGAGTCCATGAAGTTTACAACAACATTATTTAACAAAATCATGTTGTAACAAGAACGTCTGGTTGTATTATGTATGCCCAGAGTTGGGAATAAGTTTTGTATAAAATGTTTCTGATTCGCTCGGCATAAAGAATACTTCTCTACAGCTGCTTTTTTTTATTTTAAACTGTATATTAATGCAAATTGTATTTTGTCTTTCCTTAGGGTGTACTTTTTACTTTTATAAATACAAATAATAGTAATAGTGATGTCTCAAAGACAAGATCATCATCATTATCATTACCATCAACGACATTTCACCATGAAGAGAATAAAGAATCTGAAGATGACGAAGTGCAAAGACGTGGAAGTGGTGGAAAGTCAGCTTTAGGATGGTCTGCATGGTCTGACTTTTCAACATGCTCAAGAACTTGCGATGGTGGCGTAGCATTTCAATTGAGGCGATGCCACTCACCTCAAGGATGTAAAGGTGAATCTGTAAGATATAGAATATGTAACATGCAAGCATGTCCCGATCAACAAGACTTTCGTGCTCAACAATGTGCCGCTCACAACGAAGTACCATACGATGGAGCTTTATTCGATTGGACACCTCATTACGATTATGCCGAGCCATGTGCCTTGACATGCAGGTTAGTTGAATCTAAATAGTTTTTTGTTCTGGATGAGATTTTCCACTCGAATTTGCAGAAATAACAAATAATCAACAAAACGAAAAAAAAGTAGTGAATTTTAGCGGAAGAACAGTCAACTGGAAGAGTGACTTATAGAGTTACGATAGAAAACTTTGTCCTTGTCTCGATTTTTCTTCGTATAAGGAATGAAAATTTATGTATCCATTATGCTAATTTTATTAGATTAAAGTTTTTTTTTCAAGTTTGACTAGATTGGATATCCAACTTTGTTTTAAAGACTTTTCAAAATTAAGATTTTTATCGTTCGAACTGAAAATTTAAATCGCAGTTATGTTCTGCACAGAAGATATATTAACATTACCAGCAAATACATATTAGCAACTTCAAAAAAATCCTCTCTGAAGCTTTACTAAATCAATTTTCATAAAAGCTTCATGAAATAATCATCTCCGACATCTTCATGAATCACAAAACTGAAATTTGTTTTTCACTCAAAAGTTTTTCGTTTTTTTTACTTCTTCTGAATTTTCTCATGGAAAAAAGTTTTTAAGAGCATTTTTCAAAGTCTTAAATATAGAAATGTAGCAGAAAAGGAAGCAAAAAAAGTTGAAAAGGAAGTAAAAAAACTACGAGAATGTCATTTCTATGTATGCATGGCAAAAAAGGCAGGAAATTTTCTATATCAACAATTTTTTTGAATAACAAATAAAGTAACTAAGAAGAGAGATAGAGAGAGAGAGACATACACAAAAAACGATGAAAGATATTTGTTCCTCGTTACATCAATTCAGATGAGTTCAGACGATATTTTGTTTTCAGTCGAAGTAAAGATTCTTTTCCTTTTTGTAATTATTCACTCAGAAAAGAAAAAAAAAAGTTTTCCGTTCCTACCTTTTTTTAGGAGCCATTTATGTTGATCTGCTGATATAACTCTAATTTTGTCTGAACCTTTTGAGCTGAATACACTGAAACTTGTTTTTAGAGAACTCTACAGTTTAGGTCAATCCTAACCACTCGAGGACATTAATAAAACCTAATGAACCCTGCAATTTACTAGTTTTACAATTCGTTTGAAGACAATGCTGGCAGGAGAGCGCCCAGAAACTAGTTTATTTTTGCAAATCAAGCACAAATGATAAAGTTTGTCTTCAACTATCTCCACGAACCAAGATTTTCATTTGATTTGGATCATAAACTTCAATCTGGAACCGAACTTAGATTTCTTGACATATAAGCTTATCAATAATAATGTGAGAGGGTTCCAATCAAGCGAAGTGTTACTACACGTTGCGACGAGCTAAAGGCATTGCGATCCTGATCGATGATAGAATGTATTGTACCGTTAAGCTTATCATTTAGTCTATTAATGTTGCAATATTTACCCGATCAGGGTGACAAAGACAAAGTTTTTAAGGACCTGTTACAATCTAAATTGGAGTTAAATGTCAATTGAATAAGAAAAGCATAAAATAATGGGTTAATGCGCTTTGATAATTTTCGTCAATCATGTCTGCACCACTTTTCTTTTCTACCTTTTTTTATTGCTGTCACTGTCGAGTTCCACTTTATTTCTGTCTCACGAGAGAGAAAATATTTTCGTAATTTGTTTGATTCCAACGTTGATAAATTTTTTGCCTGACTGTCATTTGCCGTTTCTTTTTTTCTTCTTTTTGTTCATTTTACTTTTCCTTTTGCTTCGGTGACGTATTCATCCTTACATACGCATATAATATGCAGAGAAATTTTCTTTTATACATGAAAAATTTATTTATTTATTTATGCTTTTTTTTTTGTTACCTTTTTCACAGGGGTCGTCCTGAGCATTTGCGTGACGATAAGCTGTCTGAGTCGTCTGATGAGGAATCGGAAGAAGCAAGTGTGATTGTTCAATTGTCAAATCGTGTTCAAGATGGAACACGTTGTCGACCTGGCAGTCTCGATATGTGTATTCAAGGAAAATGTCAGGTAAGGGATATGTGGGTAAATAATTATCATACCCTTCCATTTTCATTCTCTAATTAATTTTATACATGTGCAAACCAAATGACCTTCATTAATATCCTTTATCGTCGATAATTTTTTTTCTTTCCGCTTCCGTTTTGCTCGCCTTTTTAAATGTCAAAATAACAAACTTTTCTCATTTATAAACTCTAAGTGGATTAAAGTTTATGCCTTTAATAAGTTTTTAGTCAATTTTCCTTCTTTATAATGTACCTTATTGTTCCCTTTGGCAAGATAAATGGGATATATGCGTGAAAATTCATAAACTAAAGAGATAGACTCCATCAAACTTTTGCAATTTTATCTCAGCTATCTTCTTGATCATCTCTTAAATTCTCTTGGTTGTTTAAGCTAATGATTTATATTGTTTGAAGACTTCTTGTTATTGCTCTTAATTTGTGATTAAAAGTTTTAAATATACTTTAAAATACCTAAAAATGAAATTTTTGACATTATGGTCTTGTGGATTTCTGTGCCATTTTTAACAGCAAATGCGTAATCGTTTTTACAATCGGAAATCCTAACAAGGGTCAAAAGAACACATGCGGTATAATCTTTCATTTTATTCAATCACATCCACATTAACTTTGTGATTTTTATGTCATCCATATCAATATCAATTTCAAATTGATTTCGGTCAGTGGGAAAGAAAGAGAAGTTATAGTTAGTCACAATACCTTTCCTATTTTTATATGGCATGTTATAAGTAAATTGAACAAACTGCTGGGCGCCACACTTTCAATATTTTTCCTCTCACTTACTCTTAATTGATTAAGTGTCACGATATTTTGACATCCTACACAACACTTACAGATTATTGCCCTGTTTCATAGGCAGTCAGACAATGACTTGTTGTACGAGTAACAATCTAGATAGAAATCTATTTCGACTGTATGACAAAGTGCCATTAAGTGGAATGAAGAGAATAAAGTAGAAAAAAAGGAGTGAGAAAAAAAAATCATTCTACTAAATGATTCAAACGTTGGGAAGCTCAAATGATGGTTGTTGGTGGAAAAGGTGATGGGAGGTCGAATGTGGATGAAGACAGATTCATGCTTTATGTGAACATTATATTGTTGATAAAAGGATGCTAAGCAGTGAAATAAAAATGCCTGAATAAAATGAATAAAAAAGTTCACATTTTCCTGAACATGTGGCATGATGATGAATGTTTCTGGCATGATTATTTTGTAGAAAAATTTTAGTGTATTTTTATACGGAGAAACTGCTATCACATTAATTGTTTAAGTAGCCAAAGTGGGATTATTCATTCAAAATTTAATCTCTTTTTCACCAAAATTATCTTCAACAAAAAATTGTTTGTTCGGGTTTATTGGGTTTATTCAAATAAAATTTTTTCCCCCCTCTCAAAGATGTGACGTCACTGAATCTTTACTTTGCGAAATTTAAAAAATAAGCATTTAAAATTCATTTGCACAATAGAAAATAAAACTTTTGATTTATCTCATTCTGATTTACAAATGAAAATTTTATCAAGCATGAGTAAATGCAATTTTGAGTGAGCCGAGAAAAAGAACATGTCTAGTAAAAAGTGAAAAACAAAAGAGTCGAGAGCATCTATGATTTTTAAAGTGTCTGGATACAAACATAAGTACAATATATTCATTTTTTATCTTTGTATGCTCAATATGTGTGAAGAACGCCACTTACCTTATCTATTCTCTTCATAAATGCTTCACAAAAGAATACACTTCAATATATCTCTCATATCTCATTGAATTGAATATCATCGTCATCATGAATAATAAAAAATAATAAAGAAAAGCGTCAATACAAGGATAGAGAGAAAAAAAAATTATGCCTGCTCTTATATCCACTATATGTATAGAGTCACACATCTGTGACATTTTCATTCACTTTTTTTTGTCAAAGTCTCTTCATTGGCATACTTGAGATGATAAGCAATAAGCATGAACATGTGTGAAGGTGAATAAGGGTAGAAATAAAGATGTTATAATAAAAAACCATGGAAAAAATTTCATTGAGTATGAAAGTGGTACAGGGTAAAAATAGTGAATGTGAATAAAAAAATAAATCGCTATCGGCTGCTTCAAGTTTAATCATAAAAACCAAGACACTTGATTTGAATGAAGTCTTTCAATAGACTATAGAGCTTTTTTTTAAAAATCATTGGAGATGTAAAAAATTTCACAATGTTCCGGTATGATTGAATGACATGCGTTCTCAATTCATGTACTAAATTTAACTTCATACTTAATCAACATTATTCATTTACTCTTATCCTTTTATCTTTTTTTTCCATGAAAAATCTCGTGTCCATATTATATGTTCCCAATGTGGATAAAAATGAAAAATTACAAAATGATGCCTCCATCGATAATAAAAACAACAAAATCATGTACATTATCTATATCTGACATATGTAGAGAGTCGGTTGTGATCTCAAAATTGGCTCAACAAAAAAGATAGATTCATGCGGTGTGTGTGGAGGCGATGGATCAACATGCTCTCAACCACTTTATCATTGGGAAATTGCGCCAATGTCGTTATGCTCTGTGACTTGTGGTGGAGGTAAGAGAACGAGAAAGATTTTTATTATTGCATTAGGCATTTAGCACACAAGTGTGCGAACAATTCATCAACCTTCACTTACACACTTTCTGTGGCTTTCTATCTGTAAAAAAATTTTAGGCTACAAAATGTCGTTGCCAGTGTGTAGGAATCGTCTTACAGGTGCTGATGTTGAAGAATCGTTATGTAATCATGGATCAAGACCCGAACCAACTGTTGTACAATGTAATACACATGCGTGTCCACCAAAGTAAGAAGTATTTGCTTTATTTACATTTATCATTAAAATAAATTTATCCCACATCTTAATTATCAATTAGATGGATAACGGATGAGTGGGGTCCATGCAACAAAACGTGTGGTGGTGGCATGCGAGAACGGGTAGTTGTTTGTGCGGAAGAGAGTAATGGTGCACGACATCGTGTTCCTGATGAAGCTTGTAGAAATATGAGGCCGAAAGTACAAGAGAATTGTAACACACACGAATGTCCCAAATGGGTAGCATCTGAATGGTCGGGGGTAAGTTGATTGATTGTATTCTTAATAATTTTAAATTGCCAAATTAATACGTGATTAACAAAAAATCAGTCTCGCTGATTCCTTATAAGTTTTTAAAGCATTCGTGTTAATAATTTCTTGAACTCTAACATTATACTTTAAAATGGCTTTTTAAATGACTTGTTGTGCTTTAATAGAGCAAAAGGTTGAAAATTGAAGGCGTAGATAAAAAGAAAATTCATTGTAGAAGATTCTTTTAATGTAAAATTGAAAAATAAAGCAGCATCTGCTATTAATGATTTTCTTATTTGGAGCCTGAAGAACAGTGACTCAATTTTTGGGAAAGCGGAATTTTTGTTTTTATGTACTTGTTACTTCTTCTACGTACTTGTCTCGAAATAGATTTGCTTTTATTGTTACAATCTTGAATTTTTCTTTCATGCTTTTGTTTATTTTTGTCTGTTGTTGTTCATCTGTTTTTCTTAAATGGTGAAAATTATCTTACAATATTTTATTCAAACTAATTATATACCTTGAATTAAGCAACAATTTTTGACATTTTCCATATAAAAGTTATTTTAATAAATTAAAACCAACGCAAAAATTCTTCATTTTTGATTCCAAATTTGAATTCTTTATAAAAAATTCGTTTATAAATGATGGAAAAGTCAATGGATACCATAGAAACTTTCATCCCATTTTGTGGTTATGAAAAAGGATAAAATTTATTTTTCGTGGGTGGTACATTAAACTTTAAATTGTGCATGTTCAATATTCGTGGACTAAATTTAATTTTTACTAGTTGTACAAAGTGAATAAACATTCAAGTATTCTTATAAAATCATGTTAAAAACCATAACCTGATTTCAACAATCACTCTTTCCTTCGTGGAATACGGTTCTTCTCTTTTTGTTGAAATCCACAAAAACCTCTTCAAAAGTCAACTTCTGTGAATGTCTCTTGGGAATACTGAAGTGAAAAATTGTTGGAAAAATTATATTCGTAGACGTTGAAAATGTTGAACGATAATTGAAAAAATATATTTTTAATCAAATTTATTATGAATTAACCAGCTCGTGTGTGAAACTTTTTTATTTAAAAAAAAATCCTTTTTTTCTCCTTTTCATATTGAAGTGTTCTTCATCATGCGGCTCAGGTATGCAAGTGAGGTCAGTTGAGTGTATTGATCAAAATGGTATGCACAATACACAATGCGATCCATCCACTCGGCCCAATTCAATGCAAAACTGCTTTGTCGGTATACCATGTATTGATGATATAACAACGACAACAACAGAATTCTATCAAGAGAATTTATCAAGCGAGAAATCAAAAACAAATGATGATGATGGAATTAAGGATAATATAGATAAAAATTTTGACGATTTAACAGCCGAGAATGAGAGTGATGATGACGGTGAAGAGAAGGAAATTAACGAAACAAATCAACAAAAGCCACGAAAAACAATCGATGTGGATGATGAGACTGAAGAGGATGATGATGATGCTGAAATGCAGGGCGATGAGCCAATGGAACGTAGTCATCACAATAATCCGTATCAATATCGTATGCCTAGAGCTGAGCGTCTCATAGACTCAAATACACCAAACGAACCGACGTACGTATTCATATCAAATTCTTTGTTTAATTTTACCAGAAATGTGGCATTACCAGCATTATGAAAAAGGAAATTGTTCTTATTATATCCCATGTATAACAAAATATGAAATGCTTCAATATTAGAGGTCCTACAGTCAAATATATCCCATTTGAATAGAAAATTTATGGAACAGAATAACTATTGAAATCTGAGTACTCATTCAGCTGATGTAGTTTCAAGAGTTTCGCAATTGAAAAGTTTTCAAAACAAACAACTTTTCAAAATATTCTTCATTATCATCAATACACGGGTCGATTCTATTCATTGATGAATGTAAAACAACGCAATGAAAATATTTTTTAGATTTCAAAATCCACTCTGTAAAAAAGCATGCTTTCTGACTCTAGTAAAAAGCGTGTATCATGTCAATTAGATTACGTTCCCTACTCACATATCAGTATGATTTTATAGCTCATCTCTCACACTCTAATTTCAACTTTCATATGGGTTTGATTAAGTGAGTAGATGTGGAAAATAAAAAGAATTTATTTCGATTGACGCTTCATCCTTTCTACTTGTTTATATATTTGGTATTATATATATACGCAAATATACATGTGCGTAACTAATTCCTATCTATGAAATAGATATAGAAAGATGTACGGGTGTACTTTTGTATATAAAAGCGGATGTGCTTCATTGTGTTGATATACATGAAGAACTGATTAACTAGGGAGGAAGGCATGTCAAATTGTACTGAATTGAGCTTAAAAAATCGAGAGAGTTTTTAACTTAAAATTAATATTAAAACTAATAGGCATTTAAAAATTATTTAATTACTCAATTTTTTTGTGGTTTCTTATATGAGGCTAAAGTTTTTACATTAATAAATCCAATTTTTTCAAACACCAAATCCTAAAAGCATACACATGCTTGAAAAAGAAAAATTATTCAAAAGACCCTTTTTGAAACTTATATGACTTGTGCTATTCACTTCTTCTTCCTAAGGGCTCCGTCTTAAATTTGTTTTGTTTCAATGAATACATAAAGCACTTGTATAGATAGATAAAGGTAGTTTCCAAACATATTCTATTTTTAATGATGGGTACTATTATATGATGGAATTGGAAAACTTAAAGTTGCTTTATTAAGCACTTGATATTTAAAGAAAAGGCAGGTAGTAAAGAAATTTATGAGTCTAGTGGGAAATAAGTGTTTCTATATTCGGAAAACTTTTAAGTTTTATGACACTTTATTGCTTTGGAAGAATTTTTTGTTTAATTTTGACAGAGAAAATACTGCTGAACAACTTAATTTTATTGATTTTCTCACAGAAAAAAGTAGGTTTTAGTCTTTTCTTTGGAAGAGATTATAAGATTTGTTGAAAAAGTTGAAACAAACCTTCACTTCTACTGACTAAACTAGACTTTGTACTTGAAATCATTAAATCAAAACCAAATCATCATTTAGCATCTTTAAATTTTAAAATAAATACCTAGCAATAACAATAAGAACCAACAAAAGATAATCCAAAGAGGTATCAACACTGAGGTTTATAAGCATTACTATTTTAAAGCCAATAATGCATTTCTCGCCTTTCCATTCAATATATTGAACAGGAAAAAGAAATAGACAAGTCATAACATAGGAAGAATCGAAGCGAAGAAATATATACATAAAAAATTGATAGTCAGATACAAGGAATGAAACGATGAAACGAGAGAAACATAGTAAGCAAGAATGAATTGAAATTTATTGCGATTGTAGTAATGCTTGTTTCCGATTTCAAGTTCTTATTCTGAATCTGATATTGATTTGAATAAATAAAATCTGAAATGGTAAAAGACTTCTTCCTACTCGATGATTGTTATTTGACTTTTTGCTTGCAATTTTAGTAAGAACATCAAGTCATAATTTCACAATTTCATCACCCAATCCTTTACCTTGAATTAGCAATTAAATAATGAGTTCAAGGAATCAGCATGCATACATGATTTTCTTTTAAATAGCAAGAGTTAAATACAGTAAATTTCAAGGTAAGAAAGCATTAATCCAAAGCTCTAAACGATTCAAACGTCAAGCTTCTTAGTAAGGCAAATAGAATATATAAGCGGATTTCCATTTCCCTTGCCATTTCCAAAAACCCGCTTAAAAGGCGAATAGATATATAAAATAAGGCGAAGTTATAGAAAAGATAGAATGAGAGAAGTAAGTTCATGATAGAAGACTTTTTTTTTCAAAATCGCTTCAATCGCTCAATTGTAAGAGATTCCTATGACTGTATTGTTTATTTTGTTGTTCCTGACAACCATCCATCATAATAAAAATAGAAAACTTTTTCTTTCTTGCCGTTCAATTCAAACATTCTTTATACTTTTTGTTCAAAATGCGAATATTCGTCGCTGATGTATAGAAAAGCGATAACAACAATCGATGACAGTGAAGAGAATACTTCAAGAAAAATGAATGGAAAGAAAGAAATTTGAATATTTATTGATATTCGACGTGAGTGTCTTATTCTTTTCAATTGACTTTAGTTCACTGTCTCTGAATTGATTTTTTTACTTCCTTTTTTAAGAATTAGTTGCTTTCTCTTAATAAACCTTTATTATTAATTGAATCAATAATTTTTCTAAATCTAAGGCAAGTTAAGATTAAATATTAAACGAATCTTGCTCGTAATTTCTTTTCTATTTGCTGCACTCATAAAAAAAAATTAACAATGCATTGTTACTTTGTATGAAAATTTTAACAATGTCATGATTAAAATAGCGTTGACCATGAAATTGTTAAATTTAACAATGACCATTGTAAAAATTTTTGTCAACAATGAAATTGTAAAATTTAACAATCATATTGTTAAAAAAATTTTTGAAGAAAAAATGGTCACCCATCCAAAAAGGAAATGAAATTTTGTTGCTTAACTTCCAATGTCGCCTGTTTAATCGTAATCGCATTTCTTAATTTTTTATCTGATTTGAAAGTGACAAAATAATTATTTAAATGAAAAGGTAAATTTTAAAGATAGTGAAAATGAATAAGATTTTAATTATAATTTTTGTCAAACATCAATAGAAAGTATTGAAAAATAATTTAATTAACGAATATTAATTCAAGTACAACATTTTTTAATAAAAAATCAACTTTTTTAAAATTTTATAATTCTTAAGTACACAGAAATAAAACTCACTTTTCATACTAAATTTTTATTTAATTATGATTATTCAAAACTAAGGTAAAGTTAAATTATTTAAAATTTAATATTAACGATGACCATTGTAAAATTAACAATCACCATCGTTACGTTACAATCTTATCGTTAATTGATTGTAAAAATAATTTTAACGATGAAATTGTTAACTTTTTTTTTCGTCATATAAATTTAACAATGTCATTGTTAAATCTGGTTTACAACGAAATAACAATGAAAAATGTTAAATTTTTTTTATGAGTGTGTGAATTCAATTTTCTTTACAAATGATTAAATTTATGAAATGCTGCAATTTTAAAATATTTATTTCTTTCACATGTCAACACTTTTGATTCAATTCCATTTAAATGTAAAAACAACAAATCTAAAGACATAGAAAACAAAGCGGAAAAAACATTTCATTTCTCAACTTTTGCACGCATTGAATGGTGTTATGTGGTACGGTGTGTATGAGAATGTTTGTGAATATATTTGTATATGGTATGGTGGTAAAAATGAATTTATCATGATTGTCGATTGTCGCATAAAAAATATATATATTCGTTTTTTCTCTCTTACTGCTCACTATATGTCGACGACTGTATACATCATATTTTCCCATCAGCATAAATATGTATTGCTATTTTATACATATTTTATTTAAATATTTTTGTTAGGAAATGATACTATAATTGGCGAAGTCTGTGTGTCTGTTAAAATTATTGAACAAATTTAAAAAAATTTAAAAAATTCGGGTCAATTTTTCAAATAGCATCAATATAAATTAAGTATGATTAAAATTGATAATAATAATGTGTGAAGGGCCCAGCCTTTCAGCTGGAGGCACTGCGATTCAAATTAGAACAGAATCTATTGTACCACACCCTTTAGACCTACAGTTTATAGTGGGATCCGAACCACTTGCAAGCTCTGCACATTGCAAAGACACGAGTACGTCATAAGACCTGATGTACCCTGCAATGTATCTAGTCACAATTCGTGTGCGCAAGATGCCGTAAGGAAGTCATCCAGATGCTAGTATATCCTTGTATACCTAGCAAAGGAGGCATATTCTATGCCAAAGACATCAATATTACACCCAACACACGAACCGAGCTTCGTAACTAGAACGGTGAAGTGGAAAAAGAGCTTCGAAAATTAGACATGGCCTGGGAATGAACCCAGGACCTTTGGCACAGAAGGCCAACGCTCTACCATTTAGGCCACTGATGCCATTTCACCGCTTATTTTATATTAAAATTGATACTCACACATCTATTAATTCATAAAAGTAAATTTAAAACTTCACTGCATTTAGTTGAAATCAGTTGGTATGGAGCAAGCGCGTAGTCCAAAAGGAATTAATGAATCTGTCTTAAACTCATCAATTTACTAGTTCTTTAATTTAAATTCCATGATAAAAGTTTTCTTTAGATTCACCTTTAGTATAAAAACCAATCAATAAGGCACCTTAGAATTTTAATTGTAAAAATTAATAGTTAAACGAAAAATTCGGAAGATATGAATCTATAACCATATATAATGTAAAAATTCAATCATATAAGTTTTATTACATTCATGCACACATTATTTCCCAACTTTACGCTCATTGCGCGCACTAGCAAATAAAATATTGGAAAAAATAACGGCGAGTCAGCAATACAAACTTTCCTTTCACTGACGTAGTGCGAGAAAAATTGCAAAACAACAAAAAAATATTTCAGAACATGTCCTCAATTTATATCTCGTCAGCAGAATGAATTGAAACACAGTAGAAAAAAAAAGCTACAGAATCAGACAGAAAAATCCCACGGTTTATTTAAACATCAGATACAAATTTTTTAACATGTAAATACATCATACTTTTAGCAAGATATTGATAACGATGAGTAACTTTTCTAATGCTTTGTCAAACAGACATAATTTAGGAAGATTTTCTCATTGCATTTTCATTAGCACACACAATACATGATAGCTTTTAAGTTCAGTGGTTTGGACTATTAAACCTTTGGATAGTTCTGGTTTAGTTTTAATATTTAGATTTCTCATTTGATGTCGTTCAACGATAATGATGTTTGTAATCAAGACTAGATGCGCTGCATTTGCTAAAAGATTTCTGAAAACATTCTTGAAAAATATCATTGTTAACATTTTTCGTGTACCAAGTTGGCCATATAATGCTTATAGTATCATATGAGAAAAGTACTGAGAAAAAAATTCGAATAAGTGAGATAAAGAACTCTGGTGGCATTAAAATTTCACTCAAATCCAGCCATTCAGGCATGAGATGTTGTTAGCATACATGTATGCATGACTATCGCGTATTGGATAATTTCCAATCCGCTGCTGTAATAATTTTTATTCCCTAGCTTAAGCAGCGGCAAATATTTTTTTGTTGCCCTCGCCTAAATGAATAATTGAATTTTATCAGTTCCTTCGTTCAGCTTCTGGTTTCAATGGAAAACAACAATAGAAAGCGGATTTTTCATGCGCTCGGCAAATAAAAATACAATTTTCCTCTTTTTTTTCAATTTTATGAATCAAAAAAATATTTGAACAAAATATTTTTCCATGGATATTCGTTACAGAAATGAGTCGATGTTATTGAATCAAAAATCATTAAGCATGATAAGCATTATTTTTTAAAAAGGTATTGTGTATATTTTGACACAGCGCATTTTAAGTACAAATTGTGAAACCTAATCAATATTTTTTTTTTATATTTTACATTAAAATTATTATAGTATAATTGACCAGAGTAGGAGCATACATGAATGTTCAAGAGTATCCCCTGATTAAGTTTTGGCATGAATTGAATTACCATTTGAAAACTAGAATAGTAAAATACTTTGATGGAATAATTGAATTGTGAATTTATTTAACTCGATTTTTTTTTCTCAATTCTATTGAGTTTGGTTATTTATTGTAGTTTGAAATGTGGTTGATGAGTTATTTATCGAAATAATCCTTGACATGAATGATGAATTGAATGAACTTTTCATGATTTTATTGTTAATTTTACTTGGATTATTTTTCATAACATTTGCATTATAATAAATTTTATAATATTTAAAGAAAATTTTAATGATTGATACGAACTGTATAACGGAGGGACATAATAAAAAATATTTTAATGCTGAAATTCTTTAATGCTACCTTTTTTAAACCCCCCCTCACCCCAACAAAATTAGGTTTAAGAGGATTCACTATGTGTAGCAATAAATTCTTTCAGTCATGTACGATATGAATCTAACCTAAAACACAATAATAAACTTAAGGATAAACCACTTTCAATCCTATCATTTATGTCTTTGTTTTGTGCTTAAGCAGTCTCACAGTGAACCCTTATCATTTGAAGGAGAAAATAAAATGAAATATCTTCAATCTGACTTTTTCTCAGATTAAATTTATTACATTTTTTTTTATGTGAAAGGGAGGAGTTAGATAAGGAATAAAAAAGAGATGGATATTCAAGAATAATTTCCTCATGTCACTTCAAATTTTCTTTTTTATTCCAAAAATTTACAAATTGAATTTTGTTTAATAAATTCTTTCCTCTTTTATTAAGCTTCATTCCAAGTGAATGGGGTCCTTGCAGTGTAACATGCGGTGAAGGTGTCCGTCGTCGTCGCTTTGAATGTAAAATATTTTTAGAGTTCTCAAAAGTCATTGCTACCATTGATGATAGCAAATGTCATATACCGAAACCAGCAGATGACTATGAAAGATGTTTTATGGAACCTTGTTCATATGCATATGGTGCTGGCATTTATGATGACACCTACAGATCATCATCACGCGATAGATTAAATGGAGATCAAATAAAAGTGCAAGCAGCAGTTCCAGGTAAAACATATTCATGGCGTGATGAAGGTTATACAGCGTGTAGTGCAAGCTGTTTGGGCGGTGTTGAAGAACTCATAATTAATTGTGTACGAGATGATACAGGAAAGGTTGTATCACCATATTTGTGTTCACCGGAGACGAAACCAGAAAATCGTATAAGAACATGCAATGATATTCCATGTCCACCACGATGGAATTACTCTGACTTCTCACCATGCACAAAATCGTGCGGAATTGGTATTAAAACCAGAGAAATTAATTGCATTCATGAGGTTACACGAGGTGGTGAGAATACAATGATTGTACCAAACAGTATGTGTCCACAACCACCGCCAAGTGATCGACAATATTGTAATGTTCTTGATTGTCCAGCACGATGGGAAATTGGTGATTTTTCGCGTTGCTCTAAGTCGTGTGGTGGTGGCTTCAAGAATAGAACAGTCGTGTGTAAGCAAACAATGGCACAAGACCACAAAGTTGGTCGTGTTGATTCAATGTGTCCTGGTATAAAGCCAGCTGACAAGAAAATGTGTAACACAAAAGCATGTCCACCAGAGGATGACAGACCAATAATATCGGCAAATGATGGCAAATATATTCAACATGATCCAAATCAAAAGAAAATTAGCTTAAAGGTTGGTGGTGCTGCTCAAGTATTTTATGGAGTACAAGTCAAAATAAAATGTCCAGTCAAAAAATACAATCGTACAAAAATAAAATGGAGCAAGGATCATAACTATTTACCGAAATCACGTAAATACAAAGTCTCTAAGAAAGGTGCGTTGCGTATACTTGATGTAACATTTAAAGATGCTGGCGTGTATACGTGCCATGCTGGTCTATCTGGTTCCGATATTCAATTAACAATAAAACCCAAACCTGGAGAATTTCCATCGAGTGAGGAGAGTGAAAGGGGGCGAGATACAAGTATGTAGATTATGTTTATTAGTTTTTTTCTATACATTCTAAATACTTAAGCTCGTCAGTTGATGAATTTTGCGTTAAGAAAGTGCGTTGATTTGATTGATTTATTTTGGATAGATGCAAGTCATATCTTCTATAAGTTGTTGCTTTTTTTTGAATCTTATGAATTTTATAGGATATGCTGATGAATAGAAGTGAAATGATATTAATTATGAGACAGCTTGTTTTGAAAAATTATCTTTTGACGCTTAAATATCACGCCGAATAAATTAAGCCATAAAATATTTCAGAAAATGATTCGAACAAATAATTTGAGAAGAATATTAAATCTCATTTTTATGTGCTATACCTTTGGTATTATATTCCTGTTTATGGCTGAATGATTTGATTATTTTAATCTTATTTGTGGGCAGATAAGGTATATAAAGTAATAATTAAAATTTATATCCGTCGATCACAAGATCAATTAGAATTCACAAAAGGTATCAATTTTAAGGGCGTGATGACAAGTCAAATAGTTAAGTAGCGCTTTTCGCAGCCTATTACATCATGAAATATGATTATTAATATAATTCCTTTTCATCGATATTTGAAGAATTTTTAATCCGTTTAATTTGCGATAAAATATATTAGCTATAAAATTATCTCTCTGTTGGATGTCACCTCACACAATTTTTGGACATAAAAATATTGTTATCTGATTAATTTCATAGAGATAAATCTGAGATCATGTATCGCAATTAATGCAAATGAATTTTTATTGTTTTCGTGACATTCATTAATAAATTTTTAAATTTTAACACAAAAAAATCTTAACACAATCTTAATGGATGTGACTAAAATATGAGGTTTTTATGGTTTTTGCTTAATTTTTAGTGAATAAAATTGGCAGATTCATGAGTTTTTTCTATGAAATAGAAACACTATCAAAAACTACCAAAAACCAGCAAGTTCACATTTTTAACAATCTTATGAATTGATTGTTTCTTTATTCAAATTTAATATTTGGAATAAAGATTAAAGATGTTTAGATTTAAAAGAGACTTCAGACCCAAAGTCTCCGAAATCTACCAATACAAAGAAAAACTGCCAAAAGCAATTATTCGACAACTACAAAATCTTAATTTATTTATTCATAGCTATCAAGAGGATTAAATTTCATCAGTATACAAAAAAAAAGTCTTTATATTTTCATTCATTTTCGTTAACATACAATATTTCCGTACGTAATTCAACGGTGTCTGTATCTATCCATCTAAAATTCAATTAAGTCAACATCAGAGTGAAAAAATCTTAACAATCTTGTCTTTCTTCTTTTTTTCTTGTCTATTGTTCCTCTAAAAATACACAAAACAACAAAAAATCTGAATATCATTCATGTTGATGCTGTTGCTGATGCTACTGTTCTTATCATTTGTACAATAAACAAAATACGACAACAAAATAACAACAACATCGACTACGACAAATGATTGGTGTGAAAATGGAAATTTCAGGTGGAAGATTTAAATATAGCGATTCTCCACAATCTACAGTTCATGGCCGAAACTCAAGGTAAGATATGACAAAAAAAAAATTACCATATTATTATGTAGTCATACACGCACATTTATCTGTGTTTCTATTTGACTTGAAGGTGAAATGAACCACAAAATACAAAATAAAAAATATTGGGTGCAGTTCAAAAAGCACAAATTTCTTTGTTGTCCCTTAAAGATACACTGAAAAAAAAATAATTTATGATTTGAAATCTGAGGAAATTTGATAGCTTGGTTTTAGATTGATCTTCAGTAGATAAAAACTATCAGATGTTGTTATTGAAATGATGGTCGTTACTAAGAAAATATTAAATAAGATGATATAGAGCGGATGTACCTCATTTTATTTTTGCATTTAAAAAAGAATTGCTTTCAGTGAACAGCTTGTAAAAATTGCTTATACAACTCTCATACAGCTTAAACATGTCTAGTTAATTATTGCTGTCTCATACAACATGTTCCTATATATCTTTTATACCTTAATTTCTTTATTTTATTTCTTTTTTATTATGTCTTTTATTGGACAGCCATCAACGAACGAGGCAGAGAAATAGAACACGAAATAAACAAGTCAATGACAATCCAGCAAATTCAGATGGACGTCTAAAGGAGGAAGAGGTAGAGTGTATTAATTTATTTAATTGTTTAATTGAAATTTAAGCTACTAAATTAGAAAATCATAGCAAATCGAAAAAAAAAAATCTTGTGGAAAATGTACAGAGAAAAATTATTTGAAGCATCTGCAATTTGATCGAAAAATTATTTTTATTTTAATTTACGCGAGGCTATTGTATCTAAAGAGAAAGCTCAGATGCTTCATGCTCCATTGTACCATGTAATTTGTTTTCTCATTTTCCCTTCTTTTTTCTTCTCTTTTTCTTCCTTTTTCTATTTGCCATCTCAACGCTGACGCTATGCTAATGTGCTGTCATTGATTGATTTAATTGAATTGTATAAAAAATAAATTAATTTATAAAAAAAATTAAATTATTTTCCTTGATGTCATCCTTGTATTCCAATATATTCCCATCATTCTTTCCTATCCTAATAACCTTCTAATGCTTAAAAATGTGTGATAAATTTTAAATCTAAAAACCATAAAACAATATTTCGTAATATAAAAATTAAGGAACCTTTACAGTCCCACTCACAAATGACTCATACTGATAGTTCATCGCTAACGCCATCGACCAGCTCTGGTAGTAGAAACCTTCCTCTACTGCCGCATTTAGAGCACTTGTTGGCTAGTTTACAGGTGAGAATACTGACGAACTAATGAGGTCATAAGAATTTAGATTAATTTTTTTATCTTCCCAATTTCATAATTTTTGTTTTGAGTATTTTTTTGACTTTGTGTGTCTATTGTACTTTGAAAGGTTTTCATTATTCCATTTAAAATGTTAAAAAAATTAAATTATCCCAATGTTTTCTGTATTAGTAACTTTGCACGTTTTCTGTAAATCATGTTTGCGAATTTTAAAACTCATTATTTATGCATTAAGGGTTTTTTAAAACAAATTTTCTTCATATGGTGAATTTTATGAAATATTACAACTTCCAAATTTTCTAAAGTAAAATAATGAAAAGTGAGGTTAGAATCTATCCTCATTCATATTTTAATCACGATAGGTTAATCTTAGATCTCTTGGCTTGTCTCAAAGAGTCCTTCAATTGGGATTTTCAACCCTATTGCCTCAAATTCAATCATCGTTTACAAATTCCCACCGCTTTATTATATTAGACGTCATTTGTTAACGACACTATATGAAAAATTCATCTTTATCGTTTTTAAACCATGATCCCATTAGTTTTTTTTTTATTTTGTAGTAAATTTTTAAACATATTTTATTCAAATTTTTATTAAGCATCCAAAATTCATTTTTCCATCCATCTAAAATAAACATATACTGCTTGCATTTTCCAATCCACAAACATATCCCCATGTAGTAATATTTAAGTATTTTTAATAACCTTCAATGATTTTCTCTTCTCCTTTCAACTTCTTCCTACCTTAACATTTTTATTTCTTCTCATACATACTGATTCATTCATCCTTTCGTTATCTCATGTAACAATTGTATAATGTTATGATTTTTAAACTCAACCATAAACAAGAACATTTATATTTAACATTTTATATAACCCACAGTGCATTGTGCATGAATTTTTTAAAACTATGTGGGAAGAAATTAGCGCAATTTTTTGATGGGATTTTAAAGCTACAGTCTAAGTAACAAAAGGTCAACAATTGATAAGCTTTCTCAAACTTCCAACAAAATTGATCAATCATGGTGTTCCTGAAACTTTATCTGGCATTTTATTATTGTTCTAGGCTTCAATATTTGATTAAGATCTAATTGACATGAGATTTTCACCTCAAAGTCTATTGAGGATGATGATTGAAAGGGTAAATTTATTTCAATAAAATTTTTCAGTATGTGGGTAGATGTTGCATATAGCATTACAATATGAGTAGGTTGAAGATTTTCGTTACCTTACATTAAGTCTAATTTAAGGATTTTAAGCTCAATTTGTCAATGAAATTAATGAATAATTCATAAATGTCAAATTAAATAGGAGAAGTGCTGATTTTACAGCATCAAATAGATTTTACTGAGATTGAATTGTGTTGATTTTTTAAGTAATTATACTAAGTTGAATGGGCATCGAACACCTGATTTGACTATCAAAAATGTAGTCAGCGTAACCAGGTGATGAACCCCCCCCCCCCCCAATGGAAGTAAAATCAAAAATTCCCATCAAAAAAGCTGCGCTAAGTCTAAATGTTTTGCAAAAACTTCCTGCATCATATTTTGTGCTTGATATATTTTTAAACATACAACCTTTAAAAAATAATAAAAAGTATAAAGGGGCCATTCACTTATTACGTAACGCTTTTAGGGGGAGGGGGGTCTAAGATTTTGTTACGGTTCAAACAAGGAAATTGTTTTTTTCATACAAATTTTGTTACGAGGGGGGGGGGGGGGTCTAAGAAGTCATTTTTTCGCGTTACGTAATAAGTGAACAGCCCCAAAGATGAAAATATAAATACACAGGGAGAGAAGGAATAATGTTTTGAAGCAATTTTGTTGCTTGGGAAAAAATTATTTATGTATTTATATTATTTCTTCTGTTGTATTTCAACATTATGGCATGGATATTCAAATAATGAAAGTCCGCCTTCTTAAAATATTCAACAAATATCCTTTTGCATTTGGAATTAAACCTATTTATTCAAGACTGAAGAGAGCGAAAAAAGCTTTCCATTTGAGTATTGTTGTTGATGAATTCTATTTAGTTCTGTTTTGTTTCTTTTTCTGTTGCTTGCCATTCATGCTTGACTTATCTTAATGTTATTGCAATTTTCTTAAGAATGAAATATCAAAAAATCTTGCCGAGATGCAAATTTTATTGCATTTTTTATTAAAATAAGAGAAAAAAATATATTGTATGCAAATTGATATAGATTTTTTAGTAGGGAGATAAGTAGAAGCTTTAATGTGTCAATTTGCAAGTTTAGCTTTGAAATTTAAAGACTTATTAGTTCTGAAAATATTAAAGATTTTTTAAATTAAGTTTCCAATTTAAATGAAATTTTTAAATTCTTTTAAAGTTTTTTCATCAAAACTATTCAGCAAATTAGCAAGCCTTCAATTTAATCATTCAGATTTTTTTTTTTAAATCAGGGTGAATTTACTTTAACTTGAACAAAAATACTCCAAAAAAATTAAATGATAATAAAAAGAAGAATGAACGATGAGATGCATGGATGGCATTACTATAGAGTAAATGGAGAAAAAAAAATATTCATGAATATTTAAATTACACATTTACAGAAGAGGTACTTCAACCGAATGAAAGAAAGAGATTTTAGTAGAAAAAAATGAAAGAACTTTTTTGCATTTCATGATATTGCAATGGCAGTGAAAGTCAAGTCACTAGAACAATTTTGTCAGAAATTTTTCTAGATTTAGTTTTTTATAAAAAAGCTTTAAAAATTGTTTTGAACCTAATATGTCTGCTAGTTTTAAAATTATAAAAAGAACTCCATATGGAACAATCTGACAAAGTCCTTACAATGTAAAGTCAGTTGGCTTGCACAATAACTGATGAGCTTGACATAGATTAAAAGGGATTTTTGTTATCATTTTTAAATTTGAAAGTAAAAAAAGTGAGTTTATTATAGAAACAAAAAAGTAAAAAGGAATTGTCAAGAAATGTTTGAGTATATCCGATGAAAATCCTCATTAAAATGCATGAGTTTCTTTTTCTTCATGATATTTCTATACAATTCCTGATTTTTTTGTATATGGTTGTCTCTGAATATTTTTCGAATTCTATGATTGACGTTTTGCATGAAAATTTCTTTAAAATTACCACAAATTTTTATGTATTTTGTGTTGTTTGATGTCACATGTGTTTCTAACCTTTTTTCATGTCCTTTTGTTATTACAACTTACTCTTCAGACTTTTGAATTTTAATTTAATAAGCATAACATACATTCACAGTAAGTAAAGGCATCATATCATATCATAAGTGAATAAATGTAAACGTATGAATACATAATTAAAATCACGAGGATGAATATTGTTTACACAACATATTTGTTATCATATTGTTTTGTGTTTACTCAAATACTTAGTAAAATAGTTAAGGAAATAGCATACAAACGGATACATATTATATATCTACATCAACAATCATAATAAAATGGAATTTTTTTCAGTATTCAGTGAATCATTTTGTTTACGTTTGTCTTTTGTTGTGTACAATTTTCTTTCTATCCTTGTTAGTTTATATGATACTTAGTTTATAAATGTAGTGGGCGTTAAGGAATGATAGACATCATGATTGGAGTTTTCAAACAAATTATTAACATGATAATAATAGGCTTAAACTCGTAAGGACGACACATTGGAGTTAGAAAATAATCGAAAAGGTCGGAATAGATCAGAAAAGGGACAAAATAATTTTCAAGATTTGACACAAACTGAAATTAAACAGAAGATATCTGATGATTTTTCGATGATTCAATTTTTTTTTGATTTACAATTAAGGTTCGAATCACATTCAATGGTGTGTCGCTCTTCAAAAATATATCTTAGGTATCTTAGAATATAATCGGCTTCTGGCAATGAACTGAAAAGTTGAATTGATTTATAAAAAATTAAAGAAAAATTAATATAAAAATTCTGAAGTTAAAAATTTAAAATTATAAAAATTTTATTATCTAATCTCATTTTAAAAAAAGCAACATTAAAAATATAAATAAAAATCGTTTTTAAAAACAATAAATTTTAAACAAATACCATGGTCAATTTAAAAGATTTTTATTTAATTTTCTCACGTACTTTCGTATTTAAATAATTTTCTTTCATATTCATATACAAACATTCATGTGAATACATAAAAAAGCATGTACGATAGTTGAAAAATAAGTAAATTGCAATTTGATTGTTGTTGTTTTTATATTTAACTTAATGTTCACTATTATTACTATTATTATAAACATTATTGTCCTTCCTTTCAATATATAATTATGAAGGAGAAATGCAATATATGAAATTATTTTCCACGTACTTTGTATACACAAAGAATATCAAAACATATACATTTTAGTTGACCCCTTATGAGAAATTTTGCATTTTTTTTGTGAACGATTTTAAAATTGATTTAATTGCAAAATTTCTTTACATTAGACATATTAAACATAGTTGTACATCCAAACACTCTTCACATCATATTGTAATAATTTCTCACGATAGGGGTGATTTTTTAAAAAGAGAATTTTTTTTATTATTTATTATTTCCTATTTAATACACGCTCTGAGGAATTATAATACAAAACTCACACACAATATACCTCATTAATAGGTAAATTTTCTCCAAAAATACCTATACATTCATTATTGCTGTTTTTATTGTGTAGAAATTAATGTGCATTAATAATAATAATAATCAGGCATCATTTTATTTACCCACAACACAAAAATGTTTATTATTATTATTGCTACTATTGTTATTATTTGTTGTGAATGTCATTTATGATTTTTTTTTTGTTTTTTCCTGTGCAGTGAACGACACTGAAAAATCTCGGAAGGTACAAGAATTATTGCGGTCGAAAAAGTTTGGCATTTTCATTTTAAAAATGGATTTTATTGAGTGCATATGTTGTAAATAGAGGAAACATATGAGTCTGTATTCATGTGAATATTTAGCTTCTGGTTCATAAGCTAATCTATCGATACATGCTCTTTCGGAATTCCGCAAATATAATCAAAATCATTGAATTTCCAAAACGTACATGTTCAAGTTTATAGAGTAAATTAACAAAAATAGGTTTATTATTTTGAATTTACGTTTGATTATTTTAAAATGTTGTTATAGAGACGACTATTAGATATATAAAGCTGATCTTATGGTGTATGAAAGGAATTATATTTACTTGACATAATAAACCAAATCGTTTTAATATTAATAGCCACTTTAACATCAGGTATTATTAAAATATGCAAAATTTAATTTCCCCAAATATTTTTGCTTAATTCCTTCAACTGGAACTGAGAAGATAAATGACACGATTGAATGTACACATGTATTTATGTGAACGATAGCGATAATTATTTCACTGAAATCAAACAATACATAAATTTAGATACCACATGACATCTAAATAATGTCACAGCATTCTACATATTTGAACATACTCAATTCAACGCAATACGGAGCACGTCAGATAGTAAAACAATGTAGTCAAAACTTTTGATGCGAAAATATCTAAACATAAAATTAACCAGATTTTAATTATTTATAGCTTTCCACTTAATTGGCATTAGAGGCTGAAATTTGGAATATATTTGTATACATGAATAAGATAATTATGCCATAACATTTTCCTCAAGTTAATTTGGTATATCCTTTGTGAATTTGCTGAGGCTCTATTAAATTCTGAAATAATATTTGGACATTCAGCAAACAATGCGAAGGACTTAAAAATAAACCAAATGTCTTGCTGCACAGGATTTTTATTGAGCACGTTTCTGTATTTACTGATGAAAAAATTGGACATACGATAATTAAATAATATCATTTTCTTTAAAAGTATAATCAACTTTTACTTTTTATCATTTGAACTTGGTAGTAACTTCCCCAATTTTTATTAAATGCCAACATTATTTTACTGCAGATAGCAGTGGTGTTGTTGGCCTGGATCAATCCCAGGCTATGCCTATGATTGGTGGAATTTTTTATTAAAATTGTTGATACTTATCGGCGTCATATACTGTCAAGTTTCAAGGTCTAAGTTCTAAAACTTTAGAAATGATATCATAAAAAAAATCTAGAAGTAAATTGATAAAATAAGGATTGAGCTGGAGAGTTTAAAAATCATTGAAATTATTCATTTTGTATAAAATTCAAATCTTCTCAGATCAAGGTTTAAATATTAGCATGTAAAAAGAAAACTTAGAAAGATTCACAGAGAAATTTTTGTATAAGATTAATAGAAAATAAACTTGAATAATAGTTTATGATTTTGAAATTGATAAGATTTATGATTAATGGATTTATGTTTTTCATGCAGTCAATTACAATACACAAACTTTTAACAAAATGCACTTTAATATAACTTTTCAAATTTACATTAATATTGAACACTTGTTATTCATTTTTATCACAAACTTAAATCTAAAAGACTTATTTAATTAAATTTCTCTTTGTTATCTAACTTATCAAAAAATTCATCCAAATTTTTTTATGTTTTAATTATTTGTGTTTGTCCTGTAGTTGCTTTAACTTAATAAGTAGAGATCAGCATCGGAATATCCCTTGAATTTCAATTAACAGAATTCCATTTTTTTCTCTTTTTCTAGTTTCTTTGGCCATTACAGGCTTTTCGAAATTCAAAAGGTCATCAAATGCTTCATGAAAAGCATTTAAAGTACGCAATCGATCCTGGTGAACGAGCATCAGAGCAAGACGATGATCCACGTGCTTTGCCACAAATAGCCGCACCAAAAGCTATAGAGAAAAGCTTTACGGATGGTTTAGAATTTGAGTTTTATGTTGGACCATGGTCAGCATGTTCTCAGACTTGTGGTATTAACGACAGTGGATATCGAGTGAGTAATGATCAGTAATGATGGTCAATAAATTGAATTTTTAGGGAGACTTTTCGCTTCTATCATCAATCACTTTAATGATATCTTAATACATTTTGTATACATTTTGAAGATTAGAAAGCAGATTCGACCAAAGCTATTAAGCTAAATTTTTATAAGAAGCTGTCAAAGAGTTTAATACAGCCTTTTAAATTAGTATGACATTTCTCCCTTAAAAAGTTCTCACGACCTATCCTATTACAGTAATAAATCACAATATTAACATTTTCATTTAACCTTTTTCTATTTTATTCAGCTTCGGTCAGTTCACTGCATGGTGAGAGTAAAAAACACTACAAAGATTGTTGATATCATTCTTTGCGAAGACGCTGGTTTAAAGTCACCGGAAACAATTGAAAAATGTGGTGACGTTCCATGTCCACAGTGGACAACGACTGAATGGACACTATGTCGATCATCAAAATGTTTTGCGTGGCATACGGCGCTACAGAAGCGCAATGTTAGTTGTACATTCGACAATGAAACTGTCAGTGATAAATGCGATGAAAATGAAAAGCCTACAACCAAGCAAGAGTGTTACAATGAGCTGTGTAAAGGTGTTTGGCGTGTCGAGCAGTGGTCAGAGGTAGAATATGTTGTTTTTAGATTGGATATATTCAACAGGGTAGAGAGTGGATAAAAAAATATTTATTAATGTTTTATTCATGAAGTCTGCCCATATTTTCGGTTCCTTTTTGGGTGTTCATATATGCTTGTTTGGATTTCATGTGTTTAACTGATTTTTACGCGTTTTTCCCTGTCTTTAAATTGTTAAGCAACTATTAAAATAATTAAAGCAAGTTTAGTATTTTTTTTTTCAAAAATTTGCATTTTATATTTTCATTCGGTGAAAACGAGCTATCATAAAATCATTATCAATGACAACCCAAATGTTCATTTACACATGTATAACATGATTTTTTTTTTAAAAATTAATTAAATCTATTTTTATTTTCTATTTTCCACTTTATCAAAATTATATCAACAGTGTAACGCACAATGTAATAGAAAAGGTACGCGGTATAGAACAATCTCATGTGTATGGTATGGAACAAAAAAACCAGCTGGCAATGCATGTAATAAGCAACCAAGACCAGCTGTTATGAAGCCATGTAGTGGTCAGCCATGTGTTGTTAACCGTGAGTATTTTTTGTGATTTTTCAAACTTTATTGCACAGGGAATTTTTTTTTGTCAAATTTTCAACATAGTTTAAATATTTCAATGCAATAAAATTAAACTCTAATAAAATTTTCAAGAAATTTCCCTTTGTAATAAAACAAGAAGTAATTTTCCCTCTCTTTAGTCACCATTTGAGCATGTAAAAGCTTTACAAAATTCAATATGTTTTAGAGATTTAGGTGATAAAAATGATTGTTATTGTTATTATGCTAATACCATTTTCCCATTATTATTCCTATGTACAGCAAATGAATGTAAGGACATATCAAAATATTGTAATAATGTAAAGACTATGGGCTTGTGTCGACTTCATCGATTCCAGCAGACATGTTGTAGCACATGCAAGTTTAATATCTACGATAAGAAGTAGTGGAAGTTTAGAACTATTCGCCTAATCTGCCTGTCCAAATAAAATAATTTTTTTATTATTATAATTCCATCTATCTACCTACATCACCCACACTCTAATCCTTATCCCAGGCATGTCGAGTTGAATTTGGATCAAAACTAATGTGCTATAAGAGGCCTCAATTAACCACCATTTACCCCCTTTTGACATGAATATGCAAGAATATACACAAATGTATCTTATTATAAATGAATAATAAGATGGAGGATTCTGTTGTTGAGGGGGTGGATGGATAAACAACAAAAATGTGGGACATAACTATAGTGTGAGAAACCATTCAAAGAACAAACACGAGAGGTGGTGATGATGATGATGAAGGTAGAAAGATAATCGGTTATGTGTATATGAAAATACTTATCGTATTATGAACTGTATTCAAAAATTGCTCTAAGCGACATAAATGATAAATTAAAGGAGCAACACAAAAAAAAATTGAATAGACGAAAAGATTAAATTACTACAAAAAATATTTCACCTTTACTTTTTTATGTTAATATATTATGTCGACATGAAACATAGACTAAAAGAATTAATATAAAAAAATGTTAGAATATGATGAACAAAAAGCATCAAGTTTTTATGGCTAAAAAGTGAAATTAACTGAAAAGTATTTGTAAATAAAATTATTGTTAAGCAGAATATGAAGAAAAAACAAGTTTAACTACAGAAATGGATTTCTTGAATGATTAGGAATGTTTGATATTTTGTATGAATTAATTTCACATCGAATTTTTTCTTTAAAAAATAAAAAGAATCGTTACCAATCATTTTTGTCATGTTAAATTGTTATAAATTTGATTAGAATCCTGGGTAGTAACGATTATTTAATTAATTGGAAGCAGTACTAAGAGCTCACCATGTCTTGATTTTTATTTAAAAAAAATGTAAAAGTTTGTTTTAAAAAAATTAAAATTTTCCAATAATTATATAAAAAATTAAATTAAGTGGGATTAAAATCGAATTTTATGAGGTACTGTTTCCAAGTAAACAGTATTTTAATTATCAATATGATTTTATGATTCAATTATACATAAACTAAATAAATTAATATTCACCGTGAATTTCATGCTTCAGATAAATTACTTTTCGTTAGAATTTCAAATGATTATAAAAACGAACGCATCAAAATGAGTAAGTAAAAGAATACATCAGCTTTTCCAAGAGTTTAAAAATTTATTTTCCAAAAACTGAAATCAATTTGTTATTGCTGGTTGATTCTAATGAGATAATTAGGAGTTGTTAACCTTTTTTGACATAGGCGAATTATTTCAATTCCTCTTTTAATATTAGTAATTATATTTTAACCAAAGGAATTAAATCTAGACAGAATCAGTAAACTTACAAAATTTATTAATAATTTATCAAAACATATCTTTTCATTAATTAATTTAAGTTATGTTGCAAAATTTTTATATTATGAGCTTATACTTTACATATTAAATAATATTATCCTCTTCTGCCTTCTCATAAAAAAGAATTCATTCCAAAATCATTAAATGAAATTCAAAGTCAGAAAAAAATATAAATCACTCAAAAGAATATGTTCATTATTGCACACAGTTTTGAACTGTAGTATGAAGATTGTTTATTGCAAATCGTTGCGCTTAAAAAATAAACCTTAATGCTTTACTTCTCCACTGCATAGAGAACGAAAAAAATAGCTATTGAAATGAAAATAAAGTATAAAAGCCATTGAAAACAAATTAATAATGGCAAAAAAAGCTGTAAAAGACGAAAGTTGAAAACAATAATGAATTTGAGTTGATTTTTTGGTCTTGATCAACTAATCATTATTGTTGAAAATGCTTTTTTTTTTTTGTTGGAAGTTAAATTTTTTCAGTTCTGTCAAAATCACTCTCAACAGCTTTCTGGTAAAAAAAAACTGAAGAAATTTTTAGATAATGTACTTCAACATCAACTCTGTTAAATATTAAAAGATATACATGAATTTTTCGTATGACGATTATAATAATTAAAAATAATAAATTAAAATGCGATACTCACAGCTACAATTCTCATACAGAAGGAAAAACAATATTTCTATATAAACGGAAATAAATAATTAAATACTACATACAAATGACAGTTGATAACAAGCATAAGTGTATAATGTTAAAAAATATTGAAAACGCAGACAAATATTTAAAATATTTTGCACGTCATCTTGAATGAAAGCAACAGACATTTAAAGAAAGAAAATGAATCTCTGTAAATATAAAAAAATATATATACATATATATATATATTTAAACAATAGGTAGTGTTAAAATTAATATTTATAAAAAAACGATAAAATGAGAAAAATATAAGAAACATTTAATTATGAAAGAGCAGTGTAAAACAATGAAGAAAAATAAATTAAATTAAATTAATTTTATCATGGAAGAAACAAAAGAAAAACATTGAAAAATCATTTGAAGAAAATAATAAAAACAATCCACAAAAAAAATTGGAAAATTTTAAAACACAAAAATGTTTTTACTGAATTTTTATTTTTACAGGTTGATGTTGTATAGGAACACCAAAAATTTGAAATAAGAATCATGTCTTAATATTAAAAATTTACATTTCAAAAGGTTCACCAAATTGAATGAAAGAAGCCAGAAGTTGCAACTGTATAAGACTTCCTTGTAATCATATAAAAATCACTTCAAGGATCCCGCTGAAAGCCTTAAAGAACATCTTCAAAATCTTAAAAAAAAAAAATTCAGCAAAAAATAATTTTTTCAGTAAGTCTTAATGTCAATGGTACTTTAAATTTTTAATTCAACCAAACTCAACCAAAAAAGTGATATTATTGTGCCATTCATAAAAATATTTCCATCCATCATGCACCGATTTCAAAAATGACTACGAAATGATGATAATTTTAATTACAGATAGTATATTGTGGCGGGTAGTATCTCATTACATGCGTATCACATCAATTAACGTAATATGCCAAAGCAATTTAGCATTTCTCTCTCATTGCATATAGAGTATGTGCATATTGAATATAGGTGTTTGGAATTCACTGTGGACTAGAAAATTGAAAAATATTCAAAAATTTTACCATTAGAATATTAAATCATTATTGTCAATTTTAATTTCAACTCTTTTGTATAACAAAAATAATTCAGTAATAAATTTTAATCTATTTTTTGATTAGATTTTCTCCAACATACTTTTAGCTTTGATTTGATTAGACATGATATTTTTTGCGATTTCAGATCACATTAAATTCTCATATCATTATGGCAAATAAATAGAAAGTTTTATATTTATGCATAAATATGTACATATATACATAGAGCTAGATAGAAGGACAGATAGATAGATTGAAAAATGAATTGAAGCGATGGGGGAATTTTGTGAAAAGCGATTGCAATCAAGTAATCTAATTTGCCTGTCGAAAATTAAATTGCATTGAATGGGTGTATATTGACGGTGGAGAGACGAATGTAAAAGAGATTGGGGAGCGACCACTTCAGCCAATTTTATAATTCAAAATGAAATGAAATTTTTCTGGTTGTTGTGTGTGCCATCATCCATTCAATATCTAATTTCACTTTTCTGTACAGCATATATGAACGTTACACCACCAAAAATCATCAGTCACCACTAAATTTAATAATAACAGCGTTGAATTATTTGCATGATGATATATGTAAACATGATAAAGAATAAAATATAATTTCGTGTGCAATATGCTGTGAAATGTATGTCTGAGTGTTTATAGAAATGCTAAAGGGGATAACACATTAAATTTTTTGAAAATTTTATAAAAATTTTGGAATTAGAGCGCACATTTTTAAGCGCTCATTAACAACTTAATTCATAATTTATGAAATAAATTATTTTAATCCTTTTAAATTAGTTTTTTATTTTGTAGGACAAAACATACTAATCTACTCATCTAGTATCACTAGTATGTATATTGTGAAATATTGGCATATTAAGGAGCATTGGTCTAGATCATTGATTATCAATTGAAAATGCTGATCCATTGGATTAATCAAATTCCACAAAATAAAATCATAGACAAAATGATTCTAATAATAATTTTTCCAGGAAAAGCATAGCTATAACCAGAAAATTTAAATAATTTCATGTTTACACTTGCAGCTGATTACGCTCATCAAATGTGGTTCCCTTTTGGAAATTTGCTCGAAGTCCTGTAAAAAATATTGGTTTTGCAATAAAGCATCAATAACATTTGTTGATTGTACATCGATTTTATTACAGGTTGTTTCGACCCATACACACATGTACCCTCTGTTTCTCATTTATTTCATTATTTTCTCTATATTGCACCATCAATTAACAATTTCATTTGATTTTATTGAGCGGAACATATATTCGTACAGGTTGAAATAGGCTTTAGTGGAATTTATTATCATGATACGCTTTGAGAGTTTGTAAATGTCAGGAGAAAAATATTTTTGGTGATGGAAGCATGTGATGATCAACAGCAATAAATTAGAAAAAGAGAGAAAAAAACTACTTTTTTATAGTCGACATTAGTTAATGGTTTTGTGTTAAATTAAGAAACTTTGTTAACTAGCTGTTTATAAAGGTTCATAGTTTTGTTAAAAATTGTAGCTTACTTATTTTATGTTCAATTAAATGTGGTTTCACGTCCACGACAATAGACAACAGAGTCAATAAAACTTATTTTTGAATTACTCTTGAGATTTTGCATATGCCATAAACATATAAATTCTTTTGATTAGTTCAATCCGAAAATTCCGAACAATAAATTTTGAATTTAAAATTTCCATAACTTTAAATATCCATAAATACAAATTAATAGATAAATATTTCTTTCTTCATAATCCAAATATCATAAAAAAAATATATATTTCATCATCATTCTCAATATTTCAACTTTTATTGTTCGCAAAATAAATATCTCATGAATAACGAGGAAAAAAAAGCAAGATCCCAATTTCCTTTTGTCGTATTTGAGTGGTTTGCTTTGC